ATATGTGGAAGAGAGCAGCAGCTCAGTTAAGTATGTCTGGTCAAGAACAGTAAGCATGTGTTCATTACAGTATGTGACAGTTAAATTTATGTACCTTTTCCTCAGTGAAAATAACACTTCTCTCTTTCCCCTTTACCAGACACTAACTTTTTGTCATGAAAAGTGTGAGAATGGTTGGGTTTTTTTAAGACATTCACTGATTTCCATTGGAAGTAGTTGATGGGTTCATAAAGTTTTGTGAGGAACAAACTGGTGAAGAGGTGATATCTTTACTATTTCTTCACTGGTGAAGGTAATGACAGATTATAGTTGGACTTTTCCAACCAAATGATTCTGTGATTGTGTGGTGGCTAAATACTGGAAAAAAAACCCACATTACCGAGGACATGCTGTGGTGCAGACACTCCTCATGACAAAGGATCTCAACTACACTGCATGGTGCACTTCCAAGAGCAACATGTTAGTCAAATACAGCTCTGCACTAGCTGGTTTGTAAGCTTTACCTTGTAATGTCACATCTGAGTTAAACTTCTGCCTCTGCTGCTTTCTGAGTGTAAGATTGAAGAAGGCAGTAATGCTTACAAGACCATCTGGACCTCAGTGACTCCATCCGGTCCCATAAGTGACTTACTTTCTTTTGATTCTAGGGTCATGGGGAACAGCTCTTCCAGATCTTACTAGACATGAGCTATATTATGTACTTTAAATGAGCTTAGTCCTGGCCTAAGAATAAGCCATGGCATGTTCAGCCCAGGAATTTACTGTTACTGTAGGTATGATCAGACTATTAGCAATGTGGGAATGTAAATCAGATCACTGTTGTTGGGGTGTATAGATCCTTTCCTAGTATGATATGCAATATGCTAGGTTTACTAGCCCATTAGGTGACTGTCATTAAATTTGAAAATGCTTATAAACTTTCATGTTTCCCAGTTCATATCATGGGAAAAATCATTGCCTTTGTAGTATGCATTCATGAAGAGGAAACATGCGGCTGCAGATTTCCAGTCAATCTAATGGGGTTATACTCGTCAGATTTTACTTACTGTGTAAAACCTTCTAAGGAAAAGGCTATGCTTGAAAACACCCTGAAGTATTGGATTGCTTTTAAAGTAAACATCTTTATGGGCTGCAGGATAGATGTAGTTTATTCCCTAAATTTGAAATTGGCAGTATGCGGTAGTTTCTTCTTGTACTTCCCAGGACCTTTAAGTGAGAATATGCAGAGGGTTAGAGAGGAGAGTGATTTTCAGATATTGGCAGCAATTGTTTTGGTAATAATACCTTTCTGTGATGGTTGATCATCTGTGTGTACGTGCGCAATGTTTATCATTGAATCAAAGCAGAATGGAAAAGAAAGACCTCAAGGAGTGTCATCTTGGTGGAGATACCTAATCTTTCTCAAATGAAATTCAGGTTAAACGTATAAAATTACTACAAGAAACATACACAGAAGTGTAACAAACAATTTTATATGTATTTTTTAGTAGTACGTTTTCTTTAAAGTATGATTTAGAAATGGACATACTCTTTAACGACCTTTGTTAACATTACCCTTTGAGAGTTCATAGGGTACGTAGATGACAGTGGGACAAAACTGTGTGGGAGATGTCTGTGCAATGCCAATTTTCAGGGATGAGATTGTAGATTTTAGTGTCCTCGTATAAGTTCTTTCTTCTACTAGTAGTATTGTGCTATGCCTTTGTCCTGGTATTGTAGGCTTTAAATATGAAATAATTTTTGTGTTCATCATGTTCTCTCTGTTGAATTAATATTTAAAATAAGTTAGTGCTTTTGCCTTGTTAGTTAAAAGCTATATGCAGTATTCTTGATAGCTGCCAGATATTATATTTCTGTGGCCTGTTGGGCAGGAAGAAAATACATCACTTCATGGCTGCAAAAAGCAGCAGTAGTCCCAGAGACTGTTTTGAATATTGTTAGCAAGGTTTGGGAATTTTGGGAACTGCTGTCATTGTTGAAACTCTCATATTCCACAAATAAACTCTAGAACTTAATGACCAATAATTATGTAGTTATTCCACATGCTTGTTGAAAATGACATGAGAACAAATCTTAAATTATACAGTTAATGTGTCTGTCATTAGCTCCCTGTACTTTCCCACGTGCTAGTATTTCTTTGCTACAGTCATCACGTGAGAATTGGTTTCTTAATGAAAATTAAGATAAAACACAAAGTCTTTTCTGAGTTTAGGTTTGTGTTGAGTTTTCTTTTACGACATCTGCAAATAAGTTTGACTTAGCTTCAGGTTACTTCTTTTTCAGTACAGAAAGAGACATAATTACATTTTAAATCTATACTTACATGTAGTTACACAAATTATTTAATCTTTATCTTTTTTCTAATGGGAAATAGTTTTGAGTGAAAATACAGTTGCTTAGTAAAGAGGGCAAATACCACTTATTATGGAGTTTGAAATAGCTGTATAAGTTTGTAATTTGGAGTGATGATGAAGGCTAATTACTCAGCAGTTTGCATTTCCACTGCCTTTGAAGTGATGCACTCCATGTACAAAAGGAAAAATAATCAAAGAACTGTTTTTCCAAAGTAGGCTGCTTTCTCTAGGGCAGAGTGTTGGTGTTAATGCTTTGAAAAGTGCCAGATTTAAATTAGGGCAGTAGCAGTGGGAGATCCCCAGCTGACGGCAAGTATAGAGTGTAGCTGGACAGCAGTGGTTATTTCGTTGTTTCAGTATTTTGTTTTCTGCCAGCTTCACTAAACTCAGTGTTTTCTTCCTCCATTTCTCTTTTCCTTTTGCACTCCCAAGACCCTAGCATACCTTGTTTACCTGCATTTTTGTTATATGTGTTTCTCTTTGAATAGAATTCAGGCATCATGATGTAAAAAATTCTCATCCTGAAAGCTCCAAGTCAAAGCACAAATCATCCTTCTTTCTGACTTTCTATCATAACAGTAAAACAGATTAAAGCAACTCTGAAGGGCGGAATAAACATAGCATTGTTTCTTTACGATTTGTCCTTTGTCCGGGTTCTCTGAAATGTAACAAAATACATATTTTTACAGAAGCTTTGCTCTCAAGGCACTTCTGAGTTATCTTTTCCAGGTTTTTGGTGTTTTGCTCCTAAGGGCCCTCAGCCTTCTGGAAGAGTCACTCTTTGCTTGTACGCAAACTTTTGTGTACCGTCAGGTTCATACCTGTATTTTGACCTATTCTTCTCCTCTATAAAATTCATATGCAGTTGGTCAAGGAGTTTAAAAGAGATTAAGCAACAAGCAGATACATCCATAATCAGCCTATTTGCCTAAGGAAACCATGCTAATAGTTCTACATCTGAGAGATGTATAATTAAAAATGGACACTCCCATTTACTTTAGGTTTGAGGGTTTTTTGTTTGTGTTTGTTTGGTTTTGACCTTTTGTTCCTTAATCATTACTAGTGACTGCTTGAGATAAACTATAGTAGGGGAAAACTGCACTTTCTGTTAAAGTAATTGGAAGTGTGGGGCTGAAAAGGAGTGAATGGGCACAAGTCAAAAGAGAGGAAAAATAACTTTTTTTCTTCTTAAATACCTGGACAAAACTTTTAGATGTTAAAAAAGAGTGTGCTTACACTAGGGGACAAACTGTATGTCAGTGGTAACCTGCCAAGAAGCAATTGATAGTGTTCAGAAAATGATAGTCCCCTGTAAAGCTAAGAACCAGAGGGGGTCCATGGTCCAGTCTACAAGTAAAGCTGAAATAAGACCTGTAACAATCTGTGAATTACCAGGCTCTGAGAGGGGCAGTTTAGAAATAGAAGGCCATTGCAGACAGGTTCAGTTTTCTCTGCATCAGCGATCTGCAATTAAATGCAAATTTGGGGTTGTTTTGGTTAATTGAAATTAAGTTGTGCTGGACTAAAATTAAGTTCACTTAAGTGGCGGTGGGGTGAGTGAACAGGATGGAGAGCAGCAAAACCCTACAGTTTGGCTTGCACCAGGAGTGTTCTGTTGGAGAAGTCAGTATGACGTTTGGACTCAGGGATGGATCCAGTGTGGTATTTCATGTGTTGCATTTTTCGTGTCTTTAGTCAGTGAGCTCTGGAGTAGAACTTGTATTTTTCTATATTTTCAGTTGTTACACCTGTTAACAGCATGACATGTTCTAATGTTGACAGAGTAGTGGGGTGAAGGGGAGGGATGTTAATTGCCTTTGCTGCTAGATTCAGAGACATCTCTGGGAACTTTTCAGACAAATGACAGCTCCATTTATTGATTCAATGCCAACTGGGAAAGCATTACTTGGAGGTGCATGGCCTTTGTATCAGAAGCACTGAAAACTCTAGGCACTACGTAGCCCCTGAAGAATTTTAGTGAAGTACACAGACTTAACCAGAGATTGGTGATGAGGTTTTTTTCAGGTTATGTGTAAGTACTTTTCAGTGACCATCATTGTACTAGTAAGTAGAAGGATGAAGCACCTCTGTGCTGAGCTAGCAGAATTAAAATATGCTGCACTACAGAAGAAATGTCTTATTAGCTATTAAAGAACAGATCTCATTGGAAAGTGCAAGCTTTCTATGACATCTGCTTACTGGGAAGTACAGACTCCATTGTTGTGAAGACTGCTTGTACTTCTTTCCATGCTTCTGTAGCCTATAAATGCTAGGGCAGGAGGGATGTGAAACAGGGTGTGCCTCGTTTTCTTCATGTTATTTTCTTTTCTGATACAATTTTGGTTTTGCATGGGTATTAGAATGTTTATCTTTTAATGCAGCTAAAATATAATTTAGTAGTAATTATTTCACAGGTTAGGAAGCTATCATAAATCTGTATTAGAAAGATAATAAATGGGCAGCTGCTTGCAGGTGTTTTATTTCATGGTGTTCTAGTGCAGTCTTCAATAAGTCCTCCCTAGTGCTAGCTGCAAAGCAGTACTGAAGTATGGATTATAAGTTGCTCATCTGAAGGTGTGTTTGTTTGTTTGTTTGTTGTTGTTGGTTTGTTTGTTCTTGGTTTTTTTTTCACTGGCATAGAGCGAAGATAGTCCTAGTCCCAAGCGACAACGCCTTTCGCATTCAGTCTTCGACTATACAGCAGCATCACCAGCCCCGTCACCACCAATGCGACCATGGGAGATGACATCAAATAGGCCTCCTCCTTTGGCTCGACCCAACCACCACCACTTCTCAGGGGATCGATGCAACACACCTGCACGAAACAGGAGGAGGTGAGCAAACTGTGTAGAGTGGGAAACAACTTCTTACTTTTCCTGATTGCAGTTCAAGAGAGTTGTATTTCAGGCAGCACTGAGGATCGCACATGGTAAACATATTAACGTTTCCTTTGAGCTCTAAGTTATTATAGTTGTAATTGAATTGAGAGCAGCAATGAGGAGGAAGATTTGGGTGTGAAAGCCAACGGTATCCTGGGCTGCATCAAAAGAAATTTGACCAGCAGGTCAAGGAAAAATAGTGGCTTGACACATTGTATCATATACTCAGTAGCATCTGAATAGCTGGCAGTATGCTGCTGCTTACCTGGAGTATGTTTGTTGCACACAGCACAGATGTTGGACTCAACTTGAGGAATGTCTGGGATTTGCCAACAGGTTTCAGATTTATTTTATTTTTATCAAATAAACCTGGTAGTAGCAGTGGGAATAGCGAGAGTGAAGAATCTTAAGTTCTTTGCCCCATGCTGTGGGGAGAGGACATGTTCTAAGGGTCACAGACCCTTCTTGTCTCTTCTCTGCAGTTTGGTTCCTTCAGCCTGTTCCATGAATGGGAAACCATTTTGTCCCATGTGGCTTTAATGTTCTGTTGCCACTGGGACCTGTAATTTATGTGTTATGGAGACTGGAAGACATGTATTGAAAGTACTTTTGATAGTTTTGTGCTTTCAGTTCTTTCCCCGTCCAAATAAATGAGAAGTAACTTCATCAAAACTTCTAATACTGAGTTTGTTACTTGTGTGTGCATAATTTTCTGAGTATTGAACCTGAGCCACTGGTCTCCGATTTGTATAAGTATTGGCTCAAGATTGTAGCCACTCTGCTCAGAACATACACACAATTGTATAAGTGTACATAATCAACTCCTATGCCTGTAGGTCAGTTGGTCAAAAGAAGTGGATGCTCTGGTCTGAATCAATGTACACAAGAGTTTTCCACTCTGAAAAAGAAAGACTACCACAATCACCATTTCCTGGGATCTTCAGGAGAGAATTCAATGAGGCATTTAGTTGTGCAGTCAGTATGTGAGACCTGAAAAATTAATGTTTGTTCAGAGGAGTCTACTGTTTTGTCTGTCATCACTAAGTGAGCAGCTATTCTGTGGCCTGTTTGGAGCAGGGACCCTAGGGAAATCTGTGATCATGTTTTCAGGGATTTTTTTTTTCAGGGAATAAATGCATGGAAAACTCTTGAAGTTTGCTATCTTGACTTTTGAGCACTTGCTTTTGTAATCCAAATGCTGTTTTTTTAACGGGTTAATATTTACATACGAGTTCCTTCTCCTAGTTTTGTTTACAGCATTAAGCTATACTCTGTTAAGCACTTTTGTGCTGAAAAGTGTCAAAAGGCTTTTAGCAGTTTTATTAGTAAGAAGTTTTACTCCAATCTAATAAATCTGTTCTGGTAAAGTTTTCCAGTGCAAAATATTTCTTGATACTTGATTCTTGATTCTCCTGTGGTTTTAGCTGTTAAGAAGGATTTGTGTAATTTATGTAATCTCTGGGGTTTTTTTTAATGTGTCCCCAGTCCTCCTGTTCGATGTCAGAGAGTAAGAAGAGATCGTTTGTCTAGACATAATTCCATTAGCCAGGATGAAAACTATCACCATCTCTCCTATGGACAGCAGCAAGCAATAGAAGAGCCCCGAGCCTTTCACCCACCGAATGTATCTCCTCGTATGTTGCACCCAGCTGCTCACCCACCACAGCAGAATGCAGTGATGGTTGACATTCATGATCAGGTAAGAGTTTTAGAGTACAAACAGAAGTGTGTTGAAGATGTGTTTTGGTTTGCTTTTTTTCCCAGATCTTCAATATCTCTCTCGTCTCAGAATTAGTTGGCAATGCAAGTCACATAACACCAAATTCTACTTGCCCTCTTGCAGAGTGTATTTCCAGTTGAATATTATTGGTCTGTGGAGCACTGCAGTATGCAATGAAAAAAAGAAAAAAAAATCCAGAATTTTCATAAAGAATTATTTTTAACAATTTGTCAATGCATGTATTGGCATAGTCCTGTAGGCCACTTGCTCAAACCTTTGAAATGCAGTTATTTTGCTTCTAAAGTTAATTTAATGTGATGAAGATGTGGTATGATAATTAAGAATGTGTTCTGTTTCATGTGAAATATCTTTCCTTAGCCTCAGGAGTCTTTAAATAGTTAAAATACATTATTTAGAGTTAGAATTCACAATGCTTATAGTTGGTTGCCTTCATGACAGTAGAACTCATTACAGTATTGTAGCATAACCAAATTAGCAATCAGAACCTAGTCAAATCCTCCTTAAATGGCATGAAAAAAGGAGATATATGGTTGGTCTAGAAAATAAATAATTCCTCTCTGTGACAGCAATTGATACAGAATTCTCTGAGGACCTGTAAAAGAAGTTGTCCTATTGAGGTAACTGTTGTGGTTGTTGCTTGTTAAATCGGCAGACTGCAGTACAAGTGCATTAGTCGGTACATAGTTACAAACTGGGAAATAGAACTGGTTATCCGGATGTTCACTTCTCAAACTGCATGTGCTGCTTAAAAGCTGGTTTGCATTCAGTGCTGCTGCATTTCACTGGTGGTGTTTTATGTGTGGAGAGCAGTTCTCAGTAGAGAATTTTTTTCATTTGGGACCAAATGCAGGGGTGGAAGCTATGACCATTCTAGTTATCTCACAACCATTTTGCGAGGTCATTTTTTGTTATTACACTGAGCCGTTAATGTTTCAGAATCAAATCCAGCATTGCACTGTATGCCCAGATTTTATACCTGAGCCAGAACTGAATTAACTTCAGTCTCTCTCCTGACGCTGGTTTTTGTCATTAGTAATATATACAGGTTGTGATTTTAAGTTCTCTTCAGTGTTTTGGACTCGGTGTCTGACTGTACACTACCAGTTCAGTAGGTTAGCTGTCTTTACTCATTCTCACCTTCCTAATGAGCTATTCATGCTTGTTCCATTTTAAGCAAGTAGGTTCCATTTTAGCAGATCATGGAGGAAGAGGGAGATTCCTTGAAATAATTACTTTTTGTTAGTCTGTACTCCCTGACACTTAAGCCTTTTCAGTTTAATTAAGAGCATCAGAAATTTCTTATTCAGTGTTTTAAAAAACAAAACAAAATCAAAACAAAAAAAAGGCCAAGTGTTTTGTAAGTCCAGAATACCTTTGGATCTTAGTTTGATGATTAAATTCTAGGGAATACCACTAGCTAGAAAATTGGGTTAGGTGAGTCTATTTCACAATATAAATATGGATACTTAGGATCTGCTGCCTCACAGTCATGTTTACTTCTCCTTTTCAGATTTCAGGTTAGCTGTTCTGTTACATTTAGGCTAGAAGGCTTAGCTTGAGTGTTGGTCTGAGAGTGAATCAAGAGACTGGCCTCTTTGAAGAAAGAAAATCTACACAATTACTTCTTTTTTTTAAAGACGCAGGACTCTGAATGATTATTGAATCAGTCCCTTCAGAGTTGAGAAGATTTGCTAGCTACTTGTAGATTAGCTTTTATGTGGGAATTACTGCTTTCTTATCTTGCAAGAACTAACCTTAGTATGGGGGTATCAGGCTTAATAGTCTGAGATGCTTCCGAGTGACTCTGTAATGCCTTGGAATTTTTAAAATTTTAAGCTGAGACCCCTCTCGACCTTCCCTTCTTGAGAAGAATATTTTAATGAACAGGAATTACAAGCATGTGTCTCCTTTTACACCTTCATTGTGAATATATTTTTTTCTGGTTTGTGGGTAAAAGCTTGTTATCTTACTCAACGTGCTGTAAAACCATAAAGAGTTTACAATGAGTTACTCATTTTTTTTCCCTTTTGTTGCAGATCCATCAGGGCACAGTTCCTGTCTCATACACAGTGACAACAGTGGCTCCACATGGAATACCACTTTGCACAGGCCAGCACATCCCTGCCTGCAGCACGCAGCAGGTCCCAGGGTGCTCAGCAGTTTTCAGTGGGCAGCACCTTCCGGTCTGCAGTGTGCCTCCCCCAGTAAGTGGGTCTCTGTAATTGCACCAGCTTCAGTCTTAGACATAGAAGTGGCACCTTGGAGTTTCATTGTCTGTGTGGCTTTAATTGTGCTGGAGGTAGCCTTTTTTTTTTCCCCTTGTATATTGGAGTGGCATAGTATTGTAGGCCTTAGGGCTGGTAAGCGTATGGTACTTATCTACTGTCTTTATAAAGTATGACTGTTTATACTTGCAGAGTATTGATGGTTTTTAACTGAAAACTAAATGCTGCTTTATGAACTGACTTCTTTATCAGCATCCTTTCTGCATTCTTTCAGATAGAGGAAGATTTCTAAGGCTTTTTTTAGGCAGCTTACCTAGAAAAAAATCTTACTTAGTAGGGACCTTTTTCAGGGATTGATTATATGCAAAAAGATCTGATATTTCAAAATCGGTTTTCTTCTGAGTAGAAATAAGATCCTGAAAAATCACTGAAAGCTGAGAATGGCTCTTATGTCTCAAAATGCTCTTGTAAAATGAGTCAAAATATTCTTTAATATAGAAGTCTCTGTCTTTCTGACAGTAAAGTGCCTCGAGTGGCTAATTTGCAAGCTTTAAATTCAAAAGAATTTTAACTGTTTTCTCAGAATTTTTTATGTATCAGCTCAGAGATACCACTTTCCAGGTCGTAGCATTCTGATGCTACCATTCTGTGGAAATGTTTTCATGAAGTGCCAGCAGGCACCAGAACTGAACAAGCATAGCCAAAGAAGTTTCAGCTTCAGACAAAGGTTGCACAACCTGCTTAAAGAATCATACCTTTTTTCCCTCTCCTTTTTCTAGTATAATTCTGTGATACCATACATAAAAACTATAGTTAGTGTCCAGTAACCATTTATAATGCTGGTAAAAACATTGGTATTTGCCAGCAGTGTGTGACTTAACTTTTCCCGCTGCACATTCCGTAGCCTGAGGGCATGAATAAGCCTATCTATGACACTGAAACAAAACCCTTGATGTGACTGCCTATTTCTTCAAGCTGCTTGTCGAGAGTGAGGGTAGTTTCCATTCATGTTGCCCAGGTGCCATTTATTACCATGAGAGACAACAAGGTCTGCAGCATACTGCTGGCCAGTCTGGAATATTTTTGGGCGATATTTCCCCTTACCTTTCAAACTGAAATTCTGCTACATGGGTCAGTTGTATCTCTGAGGCAGGGTAAGAGAAAACTTTATTCTTCTATTTAGTGATGGTGTTAGTGGAGCAAAGCAATCTCAGACTGGTACCCTGAGATTGGAACAATACTTGCATAGTAAATTCAGCAAGGCAAGAAAGCAACATGTCCTAATAAACAGCAACAGAGAAAAAGCTCAATCTGTATTGGGGCTTAGAGAAATCCAATCAACAAGTACTAATAATCTTACCCTCTGCTTTGAAGAGGTATATTATCTGTGCAATGCATAGAATGTTTTATAATTCAGCAGTGCAGCTGTCCAGCTCTAACCAGGTTGTTTGGACTGAATATACAACAGTTTATCAAGTGTGTTGAGAGGATGAATGCAGTACAAATGAATGTAAAGAATTAAGGCTGAGTTTATGTAATGTCAGCAGGCAGACTTTATGCTTTCTTCTATTACGTCGCAGAATTGAGAAGTGGTGTAAGTTAAGAGGAGGCTCTGGAGGTCATCTGATGGTCACCTGCTAAGAGCAGTACCAGTTTACAAGGATGGAGATTTCACAACCCCTCTAAGCCTCCACTCCAGCTGTCTTTGTGGTGAAGAATTTCTTCTGTGTATCTGATTGAATTTTCTTTGCTGCTACTTGCTCCTATTGGTCCTTGTACTTTCACTTTGCACCTCAAGAAAGAGTCAGGCTCTGCCTCTCCACTGTCATGAGGTAGCTAAAGACAATAGTACGGTCTTAGTGTGTAAAGAGGATCAGTTTGGCTGTCAAACTCATCTCAAACTTTTTTAAGCAAGAAGTCTCAATGAGGGCACTACAGCCTTCAAAGTTTAGTGCTGAAACTGCTTTCTGCTTGGTTCCTAAACCTTTAGGCTGTTATCTCCACTCACAAGATGAGCACAGGAGATAAGTGGATACCAGCACTTCTAACCCTTTGCATGTAATTCCCACAGGTCTTTGCTTAGTTTAAACATTTTTAAATTTAAAAGTCTGTCTGACCCTTGCATATTGAAAACGCTAACTCCCACTGACCTCATGAGAAGTGAGAGCTGCTTTTCACCTGGCAGATGTCACACTATGGTACTTTCAGAGCAGTTCACTGCTCCTTGTGTATTTGAATGAGTTACTTATGTTATTGATGTGTGTTTGCGAGGCTTTTACAAGGAGGGCCTGAGAACTGCTTTGCTTTATTGATATCTTTCCATAATAATTATATTATGTTCTATAGGGCATGTTTGTGCTGGAAACAAAAATATGCTGTTTTCTTTTTATTTCAGATGCTTCAGGCATGCTCAGTGCAGCACCTACCTGTCCCGTATGCAGCATTTCCACCCCTCATTTCTAGTGACCCATTCCTTTTGCATCCTCCTCATCTCTCTCCACATCACCCTCCTCACTTGCCTCCTCCAGGACAATTCGTTCCTTTCCAAGCACAGCAGTCACGGTCGGTAAGTAATGCTAATGCTTCTTAGCCCCCTCTCTGTGGAATTGATGAGGCTGGATGGGTGAATAGTGCTGATACCTGACTGTGGAAACAGCTTTTGTTTGAAGTATTAGGGTTTTGCACTTATGCTTCCTTAGCAAGTCTGTAACCATGTAGTGTGAAGATGGAAAACATGATTTTGAAGTTCACTGTATTTCTCTTCAGATTTCATCAGCTGTTGTCTGTGCTGTTTCTCCATAGGCCTTTACTTCTGTCAAAGAGATGTATATTTGCTTCACCAAACATTTGCTCAGGTATTTCCCAAGAATCAAAATAGAATCCAGAGAAGATTGTGTAGTGCAGTAGTGGTCTCCAAGAAAAGCTTAGCAGAGAGACAGAGAAGAAAGCACAAAATGTTACTTCCATTACATACTTCCTTTGTATTACTTCTCAGTTAATTTTTAAATGACCAGTGCTTTTACTAGAACTTAATGACCTTGAGTTGTCCAGACATATTCAGGATCCTACAGTCTCCCTTTATCTTCTTCCCCCCACCCCTACCCCCGCAAAAGTTATTGATGTCTTCTGCTTAGGCAGACTTGGCTTAGTTAGAGACTGTGCAAACATGGGAAAACGTGACCCTGGTTTGGATTTTTTGGGAAACTGTATTTTCAGTTCTGGCCTACAGCCCTTACTGTGGGGTTATCTGCATATTTGTGTCCGTTTGTTTGCCTCTCTGGCTAGAAAATGCCAGTTTTTCACTAATGTAGAAATAGAAAACTGCTTCATTGTTACATGCAAACACTGCTGAGACTTATACATGCCATGTCTCAGGTAGGGATAGTTTTTTAATGACTTTGTTACGATGATGGGAGAACAGCTGGGAAAATACAGTTTTCAGTGGTAATCTTTGTAAGACTTTCCTTTAGAAAATGTATGGGCTCAGGTTTTAGCTTGGTTTGCTTACTTAGGTTATTGTCTAGGTTTGCTTGTCATCTTTCAGCTCTGGCAAAAAGCTTGTCTCTTAGTGGTCTAGGAATACCTTGTGTTTAAAGTTTGGCCTGCATAACAGGGAAACAGGATAGTCCTTTGGTTCCACAGGATGGCCTTCTCAGCTGAATTTCTTGAAATGGTAGAATTCAATGTCAGGAACATGAAACAATGACAGTTCCTCATTATTTCTTGAGCACTTTTGGGGCTGACTGATGTATCACAGTTGACTGGCTTACAATACTTTACTGGAATGTCATGCTTCTGAAACCTCTGGACTGTGTGTTTTCAGTACGACTGCTTGCATGACCCTCCTAGGAAAGCATCTGCTTGATTACTGAATATCATTAGCAGTTTAATCCACTGGAGTCACCGTGTTTCCTCTCCACTTTTCAGATTTTCTGGCACAATTTCAGTTCTTGTCTATGGTTGTTTATTTTTTTCTCTCGCATAGTTGTACAGTGAGAGCAGCCTGGCAAGAAGGAGAGCAAATATTTGTCCTGAAAAATGCAAGACACAGGAAATTACAACCACTCCTATATTTGCTAGATCGCATAAATTCCTGGTCTATAAGCATGGCTAGCTGGAAAAGGTGAATTTATATCAAATGTGTAGTGTTGTCTTTGCTTTTTGATAGTGTTAATGCCATAGGAACTGTTCACAGAGTTACTATGTGAAACTGAGTACCATTATACCTTTGATTTTTTAAATTTTTTATTTAATTTTATTTTATCCTATAAAATTGACCACAGCAGCTCAGAATATACAGCTGGGATTGCAGTTCTTTATTGGGGAAAAAATGCAACTCTATTATTGCAACAAAGCTTTTTTTTTTTTTTTAGCCACTTCAGAGGATAGAAAATGAAGTAGAACTACTTGGAGAACATCTTCCTGTAGGAGGTTTTACATACCCTCCTTCAGCCCATCCACCAACATTGCCTCCCTCAGCTCCTCTCCAATTCTTAACCCATGATCCCTTACCCCAAGAGGTGCCATTTGGTGTAGTAAGTATTGTTTTCTGTACTACATTCTTATTTATGCTGCATCAACATTCTTCATTCTATAGTACATTTGTTGATAAGTGGCAGTTCTTGTAATTGTATTCCATTATTGGCTATAGCTGCATACTGTGGTATTTTCTTTGAGCGTTTTAAAATCAAGTTAAAGGTAACTTAATACCAGCAGATGAGTTCTGGTAACACTATCTGCAGACTGTTGTAGCAGTTACTTAGAAAATGTTCCATGTTGCCATGTCCAGGACTTCCACTGCAGTAGTACCGTTTAGATAAGATGCTGTCGCTTGTAGCTAATTCTTCATCATATGTTGAGTTTCCACAAGTCGTGAAAGCTATTATGCTTTAAAAACAGTTCTTCTCCAAAGTGTTTGCAATTTGCAGGCAAGCAGTTTTGTAGAGTGCTTCCATAATTTAGACTGCAACAGGTTACACACATGGCCAAGCTTGCTTTAAGCCAATGTTCTGGGGATCTACAGGCAGTTCAACTGCAGCAGCACAAAACCAATTTAAACCTGGTGCAAGTAAAGTCTGTGCTGAATTTTGTTCTTCTGTGGTGTGTCCGGTATCAGTGCGACCTCTAGGATCTTTGTGTTACACTTCAATCTGTAACGATATTAGTCCTGAGTGGGTTTTTTGTGTGTTTGTTTAAAAAAAGTTTTTGGGTGTTTTTAAAAAAAAAAAAAAAAACAAAAAAAAAACCCAAAACCTCTCCTGCCTGTGTAATGCTTGAAGAAATAACTAGAAGTGAGGTATAGACTCTGAATTTGTTTACTGTTTGACCTGTGCACCAAGTTGACAGAAGATTTTAGAGACGTACTGTTACTTAAAATGGTAAACGAGAATGAAACTTTAGGCCCTGTGACTATAGATTATACAGATAACTTCTCTTTAATTGATCTCCTTGAAATCACGTAGCCTAGTTAAATGTTTGCTGCAGTTTTTATAAAGGTTCAAATAAGTCTCCACCATTTAAAAAACTGAATCACAAAATCACAGAATGTTAGGAGTTGGAAGGGACCTTGAAAGCTCATCCAGTCCAACCCCCCTGCCAGAGCAGGATCACCTAGACCAGGTCACACAGGAACACGTCCAGGTGGGTTAAAACCCCACAATGTTGTTAAACTAAAGATGTGCAAATTTTCAGTGAAGTTTTTGGTCACTATGAGTCACTCTGGAGACAAGGACTTAAAAACTTTCATTAATTGCTTGTATTTTACTCAGTATCCTAGTTAGATGAATTACAGTTTTATCACAAACATTTTGGTGGGAGTGAGGCTTTCTCGATTTCCATGTTCAGTCTTTAAAGTAGATAAGGTAAAAATACCATTTTTTTTGCAGATTATGTAGCATTTGTCCTCTTCTGATGCATCAGTTCTGGGTTGTATATCACTGAGGAGTAGAATAGAGGGGTATTGCAAGTCACTATGTGGTCTTTTATAAAGCAATCCTAAATCTTCGTAAAATTTTACTTATATTTAAATTATTATGGGATGCCTGCATTTCTGATTCTTTTTCATTCAGTGAACACAACAGTTTCTAATTGTATTTTTGGACTGCAGAATTAATAAAGCCGTTAAGTGGGTATTTGCTGTGTCTAGTTTGAGATCTCACTTTCAAGAAAAAAATCCTGGCTCTTTTGTAGTGTGCTTATATTCATGTGTAAATTTTATGTATGACCATGGCTACCTATTAATAATGTTTCCATTGTAAAGTTATGAGGTTTTAGGTTAGTCATTGGTGGTGTTGGGCTTTTGTGTTCTCTTAAATTTCAAACATAGAAGGAAAACATGTAAGTGAAGACTTTGAGTGGTTTGGGTTTTTTGTTTGGAGTTTTGTTTTGTTTTGTTTTTGTTTCTTTTTTAAAGTTTCAAGGCCTTCAAATATGAATTCGATAGTGGTACATTAATTTCAGTTTACAAACATACTAAAAAATTTTAGTAGTTTGAATATGTCTGGAAAAATTGTTTGCATTTAAGTTGAAATCTTTAACCATGTATGTCCCCATTTTAGTAGGAAATGCAAGGAATTTTGAACAATTATGGTGAAAACTTAAAAATACAAGTAAAGAGGTTAGCATGCAAATGAAAAAGTGTGACAAAAAAGTCCTGTTTAAAAGCTTTTTTTAAAAAAGAAGAGGTTTAAAAAAATTTTTAAAGACTTTTTTTTTTCTTTAAAGGCTTCTGTACAACGATTTGTGTGTAAGCCTGCATAATAGCATCAGGCCTAAAGCCTGGGCTTTTTTATTTACAAGAGAGTCAGCAGTTGAAGTCCTGTTTCCCAAACCAACCTGAATGTATACTAAGCACACAAGAGCTTGAAAGGATTTCTGTTGTGTGTTACTACTTTTTCACACGGAATGGTATGATTGTATGTTATTGATGGGAATTGTTTCAAATTGAGTCTGAAGTTATTTTGGATTTCAACACAGGCTGGAATTTTTTTCAATAATGTTTTAATGAAAGTGGATTTCAATATTCAGATTTCATTTTATTTCATGATTAAGAAAACAACATGTTGAATCACAGACTTACAGACTGGATGAGGTTGGAAGGGAGGTCATCTGGTCCAACCCCCCTGCTCAAGCAGGGGCTCCTAAAGCTGGTTGCCCAGGACCATGTCCAGTCAGCTTTTGAATATCTCCAAGGATGGAGACTCCACCACCTCTCTGGGCAACCTGTGCCAGTGCTCAGTTACCCTCACAGTAAAGAAGTGTTTCCTGATGTTCAGACGGAGCCTCCTGTGTTTCAGTTTGTGCCCATTGCCTCTGGTCTTGTCACTGGGCACCACTGAAAAGAGCCTGGCTCCGTCTTCTTTGCACCCTCCCTTCAGGTATTTCTGTACATTGATAAGATCCCCCTGAGCCTTCTCTTCTCCAGGCTGAACAGACCCAGCTCTCTCAGCCTCTCCTCATATGTGAGATGCTTCAGTCCCATCTTAGTGGCCCTTCGTTGGACTCTCTCCAGTATGTCCACGGCTCTCTTGTGCTGGGGACCCCAGAACTGGACACAGTGTTCCAGTTCCACAAGGTCCAGTTGAAGCTTATTTTCTTCTTTCTTGCAGCCTTACCCACCCTTTATGCCTCGAAGACTCACAGGGCGCAGCAGATACCGATCACAGCAGCCAATGCCACCACACCCTTACCATCCCAACCTATTACCTTATGTGCTGTAAGTTCAAAGTACATTTGCTTCCATTTAGGCTTTTAAGAAGACACATGATGTGACTTTCAACAGAAGTATAGGCACTTTTAATGGTTGGACTTTACCAGAGAACAGGCATAGTTCAGCTGCCCCACAGAGGAGGAAAACTTCAATTTTTGTGTAAATTATTCAACCTATTTTGAATAACATACATCCTTGGGAAAGGAAAAATTTATGTGAACAATTTTTTTCAATGTAGTTCTGTGGGTTTTGGGGTTTTTTTTAGGCACAGTAGCCTCTTGTTTCTGAACTTTTCATAAAAGTCTTCAACAAATTTTAAAACTTGATTCTTGGATACTCTTACAGAGACATGGTTACACTGCAGGGTAAAAGTTCCAGGAGTCCTCACTTACAGAATAAATTAATTTGGTTTGGTTCTTAATTATGAAACACAAAGGTGGGAGCTTTCTGTGATGTGTTACTCTTTATGGGCTGAACTGCTAATCTGTTACAGCTGTTGAATTTCTGTTCTGCCTCTAATAAGCTCTTTCTGGAAAATGTGTGACAATATTTAGGAATTATTTGTAGTGTGTTATGGTAGACATTCTGTGGGGAAGTTCAGATATATGACATGAGATTTATTATTTTTCTGTGTCCTGTTTTGGAAGTAAGTATGAAATGTTTGGAAAACAAGGATTATTTTCTGGTTGCAAAGGCAAAACTGACAAGGAAATCATCAAACAAATTATATCAAACTACCAGATCTGTAGTTTCTCTCTGTGGTTCAGATTTGTCATGAAAGTGGCCCCAGAAATCTGATCCAGTGAAGTTGTTAAACTTTGCTTCACAATCTGAGAGTGACATCATAGCAGGACAATGTGGGACAGTAATTCCTGATTACTTCAATGAGATTTTGCTATATTTGTGAATTTTTGATTTCTGTGTCTGTACGTTAAGTTTTGACCCATAGGACTATCTTGGAGGGTAAAAACACTTGTTGAGTATAAAAACAGCAAAACATCTGTCTCTTGCCTCTCTGTCTGAAGAGATACTGCTTTTACCAACATCACAGTATGTGAGAAGTGAGTTTGTGCTTGCCTTCAGTAAGGAAGTTGATCCAGTAGGATATCCTATGTATCTTTGTTGTGTGCTTTAGGCTTATAAAAGTTTCAAGACTTGTACTGGAGAGCTAAGTAAATTTAGGATTCCTTACCTTTGTCAATATTTTATCCATTTAAAGAAATACAGCATATTTAAAACGAGAAGATCAATTTATTTTCAGCTTTAGCTCTCCATGATCTGTGATAATCAAGAGATTAGTTTTTAGAATAATGCTAAAACTTATTAGAAGTATCAGTTGAGATACGCATACAGTTAAAAAGGCAGCAATCTTGGTATCAAAAAGTGTCAGACTTGGCTTTTTAATCTGACTCTTGTTTCAAATGTCTATTCTTGACTTCTTTTTACCAGTTCTGAGAACCTGCTGATTTGAGAGGGGTGAATAAGGAAACTTTACCTCTGCCAGATGATTCTGTGCTTTCCTTCAGCAACATGCTGAACTTTATCATTGTTTGCTCTCATGGTAGATCAATGCTTCCAGTGCCACCTGCAGTTGGACCAGCTTTCAGCTTTGAGTTGGATGTGGAAGATGGAGAGGTAGAAAACTATGAGGTTGGTGTGCAAACTACAACTGCCTTCAAAGAAAAGATGTTAGCTCAAGCAATACATAGATTTCATTATATTTTGTTTTTAATCCTGCTTTTGTCTTTCAAATAAATGTAGTGGCTATGAAGACAGAATCCATAAACCATCCCTTCAGATTTTCTTACAATACTGGATATTAGAAGTGCTTAGCTTTAATTTTTGTCTATTGCTCTTTCCCAGAATCCACCCTTCTAGGCTAGTAATCATTAAATTGTTCAGCTTTTATGTTCTACATGCTACTCTTCCCCTTTTGAATTTTAATTTATTTTAAATATCAAGCAGAAGTGAAGCACTTTCAAAAGAACAGGATAAGTTACTGGGTTTATGTGTGTAACTTTGCAGAATAGTGTTAATGCAGAATACTGTTAGTGTCACAGGTTTAATTAATCTAAATGTAACGTTTATAAAACTTTACTGCGTTTTCTTCTTTGCCTTCAGGAGGGTACAGTAATTCACATCTATAGATTTAGAACCCTCTTTAATATCAGATAATTATGGGTCAGTCTCAGCTGTTGTGTCTTTGCTGGAACAATTGGATTCCATTTGATTTCTCTTCAGCCATCATCAACCCTTTTGCATCTCTTTGCCTATGCTCCCCTTAAGAGCTCTGTGTAGTTGCATGTTTTCAGTTTAACAATGAGCGCTTCTGTAGTAATATCATCTTATTTCTGAGAACTTGGACCCTGGGTTTGACAGTATTAGGAATCTCTTTGTGATCAGTACCATTTGCAGCTTTCACCAAGTCTTAACTTCTTTTATGCCTTGGTTCTCCATCACATTTATAGTGATCTTTTTCCTAGCTCATTTGTGAAGAAATGCAAATTACATACATGACAGAGTGCAAATTATTTACACTATAAGAAGCAGCTTTTTTAGTTGCAATGCTTGGCTTATTGCAAGTGAACATAAAATACAGGGAAAAAAAGCTTAAACTTTGATGGTATGTAGTTGTTTTCTACATTGTTTTCAAAGCAAACAAGTTGTTTGCAAGCAAGCAAGTTGTTTTCAAAGCAAATTTGTTGACTTCTTTTTCTGGTTATCTGCACCATTAATTTCATAGTGGGATGAGGGGATCCTTCAGAAGCAAAATACTTACCAAGCTATGCATGCAGGCACAGGACTAATTGGAAGTTGGGTCCTGGAGGTTTTGAAATCCCAAAGAGAACATCTTGCTTATTTAGAAAGATAGTTGAATTCTGAAAGACTTTCCATGGGGCTTGAGTTTTCGGGGAGAATGAAGGTATTTTGTGCTACTAGCTGGGGTAGTGAGGTGTAGTGGCAGCCCTACCTCTAGTGGAACCAGAGTCTAACTGAGCATTGAATTTTTGAATGGCTGGTTTCCATGTTTTGCAGGCACTGCTGAATTTGGCAGAACGTCTGGGAGAAGCCAAACCACGAGGACTGACAAAGGTGGACATTGAACAGCTTCCATCCTACAGATTCAATCCAAACAACCACCAGTCAGAACAGACATTGTAAGTACATTGGTCTCTTTCAAAGGTCTATAATTGAGATGGGTCTGTTTACATTTCTTTAACTTGCAGCCTCTGCTAGGCCAGAAGGGCTTTAAAAGCAGTCATGTCAGTAAAGAGCATTTAAAAAAATAAAATGAAAGTTGTAACAGGGTTTTTTTCGGCATACTAGACATTAAAGTGACACTGTCAACTTGGAATTTTGCCTGTGTTAAAATAGCTTCAAGTGTTGAAGTTTCAAGTGCTCCTGACAGAGCTTGTTTAGTAGTTTTAAGAGTGCATCATCTTATTTTTAAAACCCATTAACTTGTTTGAAAGATCTGCACAGCCAAGTGGAAAGGTCAGTAGAGATACAAAGACATTTAAAGTGCCTTAGTGCTGTCTAATGTTTAAACTTCAGTGTAAGAATCTTTTTTCTGAAATTCTAGTTTCAGTGACACTCAGTGTGACTTACTAGTATCAGGAGGGAGTGGACTTTAGAAATCATTATCTCCACCATTTTGGATTTTGATTAAAGGTGTTCTGTTGTCTGAGAGTCTGTGAACTCCTGTGAGCAGGAGCGGTTGCTTTGTGCTTTGAAAGCACATGAAAAAAGAAAAAAACACAACAGCGATTCTCAGTTTATGTTGTCACACCACACATCTTCAACCACAGATATAGATAACTGTAGCTACCCAAGGGTAAAGGAGCTAACATGTTGCAGTCATACCTGTCAAGTTTTGTATGGAATACGTATTTGTTGTTTTTACAGAGCAGATGCATTTGAACTTTGTTGTCCTTTTTCAGGTGTGTGGTGTGCATGTGTGATTTTGAGTCAAGGCAGCTACTTAGAGTCTTACCCTGTAACCACGAGTTCCATGTTAAGTGTGTCGATAAATGGCTGAAGGTAAAAAATAAATTTCTATCTTACAGGGAATTCATTATGTAGTTTGGGGGGGAATGGGGTGGTATTTTGCCATTCCACTTAATTTTGTTTAACTTTTCTAATATTTAAGCTAGAAATGCCAGCAGAGTGGAAGCACTGCCTACTTATGGTATTTAGTTCTAACAGTTGATGAAGGAAGTTTCTTAATAAACTGTGGAACAAGGAAAATTTAAGAGATTTTCATTGACAGATCTGCTTTGTCTTCCATTTGCACAAAACAGTGATTGTGAATTCAAGTACTCTATGAAATTAAAGAAGACTTGAAAACAAAACAGTAACATAATATGAGACATATCAATTAGAGTTTCTGTCATGATGGTGGCTTTAACTGTTTTACATAGCCTGCATGGCAAGAATGAGTACTAGTAGTTTCCTCTCCAGCTTTGCTATTAATGTTAGATTTTGGGGCAAATAAAATGTGTTGTGTGCCATATACATGTGTGCGTATATACATATATAGAAAGAAATGTAATGTATACAAATAGAAATTACTGTTCTACAAAATTATTATATACTCTTCCAAGAGAATGTGAGCAGAAAAGAAAGGATCTAGAGTCAGGGCAGACCAGTAAGAGAAAATAGCACTACAGAAGGCATAAAGAACAGGAAATACAAATAGGTAGATGATGATACAGAGAAATCTCCACAAGCTGCATTAGCTGGATCTCTTGCCAAGGTATTGATCCCCATCTTCACCTTTTTTCAGTATTTTATTCTATTCTGATTTAGTTTAGTTTAATCTTTGTGTAGTCTGTTGCATAGAACATTTGAAACTGCAGTGATCCTTTGTTAACACAGGATACAGTCCTTATTGAATTATGGATGGTGTCTGTTGTTTCAGAAAAAGAAATTTAAACCCTTTACCCATAAAGTGGCCTCCTAAAAGCAAGAAAATGTATACCCTGGGCATATACTAAAATATTCAGCACAGAGAATAAAAAAATCAAGTTAATATTGACGGCATTCTTTTGGCTAGCAAGATGCCAAGAATAATAAGAAGGATATGAAATTGCTTTTGGCCTGCAGTACACATAGTAGTTTAAAGCTTCTACAAAATCTAAGGCCAGTGTAAATGTTTCCACAACAGTGCTCATAACTCTCAGTAGAACTGGTGTCCTTCAGTATCTGAATCCATGTATATACTTGAGAATCAGCAAGGGGAATGTGAACACCTAGTTGTTTTACTGTCAGATTAAAAAGCTACACAGATATAATATTACCAATATGTATGTGCTAGATATATGCTGTTTTAGTCAGTAATTGCAAATTAGGAGTAGATTATATCTATTGAAGTGGCATTCTCCAGTGTGCCCCTGCTCTTCTTGAGGAGTGTTCACACTAGATTTGTCAAGTCTTCTCATTGCATGAAACTTAATACATTACTTGAGTTATTTGTGATATGGACAAAGTGTCCAGGGATAGTATTAACTCCCTTTTATGAAAAAAGATCTAGGATTATGTGACACAGCCTGTGAAGTAGCGCATGCTAGAAGTCTAGATAGGTTAAACTGATTATATAGATTTTAAGAAAGACAGCTCTTTACAGACTATTAGTGCAAAAAATTAGACCTCTGATTCATAGAGCCCCTGAGGGCTCCACATTGCTGGAAGTTAGAACAACATGTCAGGAGAGTATCATGCATGCTTATCCTGTTCTTAGGTGCTGCTTTACCTGATGTTGGTCTTGAGAATCAGACAAGTATGTTGAATTAAGCTTTTTTGGGTCTCAGTGTGGCAGTTCTACAGTTAGATTTACAGTTAGATTTAGTGTACATTCAACAGGTAGTGAACTGACAATCAAATTCACAACAGCATAGTGAAAAAAGTAGATTTAGTTTAGTCTTTATTTTCGTAATTGTAGATGTATGGTAGTAGTGGTGAAACACCGTTTTTCTGATGTTCCTGTCTCATCTTAGAAACTGTATTTTCTAAGAGAACTTCTAGCATGGTATTTTCTAAAGGTTGCCTTATCATAGAAAAACTCAGTGAGCATAAGAGTGTCATGTAGATGGGGGAATGAGGTGAAAGATATGCAATCTAAACCTAAAGGGGGTGCAGTTATAACCACCTAAACCTGTTTGTATTGACACTGTGTATTCTAGAGCTGGATGCAAAATAAAGCAATATATTTACATTATGTGGGCTTAGTTACACTGGTACAAATATGGTGGAGGTAAATAAAGATTATTCTGCTTTTTAAACTATAACACATGATCTGTAACTGCAGCCTATTTTGGTTACAGCCTCTGTCTAAACTTGTTTACAGTTAAGCAGCAAACATCTGGAAGTGAGAATAACTGGAAGATGTTTTGGGCTATAGTTTTGCTTCTGTCCATTCCTTTATGTATTTGACAACTTGTTTTATATGCTGATAGTATAATTATGTCACATCCATTTAATTCACATCATCCAGCCAATGTCATGTTGATAAATTCAGCAAGGGAAGGTATTTTCAGTACTTGTAACTTTTTTCCACAAGGTGAAAAAAAAAAAAGTTACCAAAACAGTTTGTCCCTGTGTTTTACTGATTTAATCTTGTCTCTTTGAACAGAGTATTTGCTATCTAGGAATATTTCTAGAACTATGGAGTCAAGTCGACTTGTTTTACGTTTCACCATGTTGTTAGTGAAATATTTAAATAAGAGGTTCGTGATCCAATCTGATTATTTAAACAAAAAAAATTCTTATTCAACTGCCTGTTGGTGATGATGGACAAAAAAAATAGGTATCTAAGAAAGTTTTGTGGATTGTCTATGCATGAAAGGTTTGACCTACCGTTCTGGTATAATGCTATGTACAATGCTACCTTTTTAGGTAGTGTGAGCAAGTGACCAGGAACGTTCTTTTACACTGCATTTTACTTTTACATTGCTCACTTTAATTTACACTTCCCTGGTTAAGCAATGTTAAAAAGACTTGTGAAAGAAGATGTAATACAGTGAAGAAAGTAGAATTGACAAGAGGGAGGTTATCCTTTTGCTTTTCATAGTATTGTCAGCTCCCATATTTCACAGTATTTGGTTATTTCTCAGTATCCTAAATCCTTTAGTCAGATACAAATACATGAGAAATCTCTTCTTTTCTAAAGTTAGAGTTAGTCATTATTCCAAAGGACAGCTTGAAAACATGACCTGTCTTTACCCTGAGGGTTTAGAACCAGGTAACAAGGAAAACTTGCCTTTACATTTATTGTTTTGATAGGAAATGCTGAGAAATATATGAGAAAAGAGAAACTGTAACTTTAGTTTAACTTGGTTCTGATGGACTTACATAAAAGTAGTGCAATACTTTTTAGAGGATTCTAGTAAACCTACAGATTAATAATTCTAAATGTGGTTCACTTTAGCTATAGATTTCTATATTAAAAAAATCGGTTAGTTCATTGTGCAGCTCTTTCGACTTACAGGACAAAAGGTAAGTTTGCCTGAGTGTTTAGTTAGATGGTCAATATTACATCATTTTGTCCACCATATTCCTTTTTTGCACCAGAGTCATGTCAAATTTCATGAAATGCACAAGAGTGCAACTAAATTTAGAAGAGAAGTTCATGTAGGATCTTGAAGTTACTTAAAAAGCAGTGCTGCAGTGTCCAAGAGTATTCATGTTATCCTGGCATAGTGGGTTTATTTCTGCAATTCCTACCAGGAAATTACTCCCACTGAATGCTCTGTTTCATGCTACCAAGTGATAGATACTTGAGTATTTATTTATCTAAACCAATACCTATTGATTCAGTAATTCACTGAATTTTGAAGAACATGCCTCTTTATTCTACATATAATTCAGCTAATACAGTTTTTAAAATAATGCAAGTATGAAGTCGTGACCAGGTAATGGCCTTGTCCTAAAGTAATTTCAAAACTGCTAGAGCAAGAAATAATTTTTAATTGATTCTCCAATCCATGCTTTACTAAAATCATACAGCAGTAATAACTATGATATAAACTATAAAACAACAATAACAGTAGTAATTGACAGAAAAAATATACCCTCATTTTAACTTGCATTACTAAATAATGGTTTTCAGTAACAATGTATTAATTTCATTGGCATTTATTGTTTGGACTGGAAATGTGTGGCAATGATTTCTGAACTCTGGTCTGCAGAGCCACATTTCCTGATGCTCTCATTTGTTTTTTTTCATTGAAAAATAGTCTACCTTAGAAAAACTTGGAGTTGACAGTGATTGGTCCTGCAATTTTGGGAACTATGAAATACAGAATTTGAGGTAGGGAAGAGTTCTCTTCACTCTGCCCATTGCAAAGGAAATGTTTTATCATAGATGTTACGTATTTGTTACAAGTTTTCTCTCATCATTTGCTAAAATGAAAATAGCTTTTAATTTAAAAGAGGAATGAGAAGGCCCCAGTAGCTTAAGGAATGTTACTTCATATCTGTCCTCTTTTTAAGGAAACTATAAAAGTAAGTGTCCTGGGACATATTTTCAGTGAGGGCTAAATTTACATCTGCTTGTGTGTTACTTGAATACCTGTTTCATCAGATCGTCTTCTCTCTCTCTCTCTTGTGTTTGTTTGTTTGTTTCCTTTCTCTTTAGTAAAACCTCTTCACTTTTCCCTAGTCTGCTTTCAGGTTTGACCAAGTCTAGGATGAGTTTCTGTAAGAAAAACAGCATAAACAGAGCATACAAAGAGATGTGATCAGTAAAGCTTGTGACAACTTGACACTCTCATATAGGACATTCATTTGCAGCCCAAGGTTGCTAGTCTGGTTTTGGTGGCTTTCTCTGGAGCACACAGTACAGCTTCTTAGTTGCATCTGTCTAATTGCAGTACACCATAAATACAAATCTGCATTAATAAAACCACCATCACTTAGATAAAGCCTAGTTTGCTGTTTTGCTTTACCTTAAAAGGCACAGAATTTTTCTTGTAAACATAATTTTTGAATTGGCAAACTTACCACACCACTCTGACACAATGAAACAAACTGAACAAAGGCATAAGCACACTTTGTCTTCTCTTATTTTGAGTATCCTTGAATTGCTTTGCAGTATTTGAATGCGAGGGTAGCAACCTCATTATGGTCACAGATGTTCAGCATCAAATACACGTTACCTTAACAGCGTATTTGTCAGTACAGTAAATGTTCTTTTGTTTCTGTTTCTTACAGGCAAATCGTACCTGCCCGATTTGTAGAGCTGATGCTTCTGAAGTGCATCGTGATTCAGAATAACCAATCTAAGAGCACAAAACGGCTTTGGGTGTTCCTGGTCACATGTATATATGAACTATCTATTGAACTTACCCATGTGGCTTCCAGCCTACTCTTTACACAGAGGGGTTAATGGACCTTACTTTGCACTGTGTGACTTAATCAATTACAAAGCTTATAACTAGTCTTCACAGTTAGGGGATTGTTATACTAACAGTGTGATTGGAACTCCAAAGAATTTGTTTTTAGCTTAATTTTGTGTGTGCACTAACATTCCCTGATTTTTGTGTGATCATTCCGAGGGTTGCTGCGAGATTACTGTGGATGTGATCTTTTAGCATGTGCTTTTATATAAAAGAAAAAGGAAAAAAAAAAAAGAAGTGGTAGCTCCAAACAATATAGCAATCTACCTTATATAGAGCCTTCAGATACTGTGAGTGGGGATAAGGGTTGGAGTTGGGGATAAGGGTTGTGAGTGTACGTTTGCTTGTGAGAGGATGTGTGAAGTGTGGTTGTGACTGAGCGTGCATGTGTGTTTGAGAACCTATATACCAGCATGTACTGAGAACGTATGTGTGTAGTAATAATTATGCTGCAATGTATAATCTTGTATGTTATTTAAACAGTACTAGTACTGTACACTGGTTCCTTTCCTTGTGTTTGCAGTTGCACACTGAATGCAATGGGTGCAGCAATTACAAGCATCTAGTATTTCCTCCCCAATGTACTTAAAGGTATAAAGACCTTTCTGCCTACTGTTCAAACAGCTTTTACACTTCCCTTTCATTGGAGGCTTTAAATGTGTACCACTAAAGAGTGCATTGATTGTTCCTGCATGAGTCACCTTGGGGTTTTTAGCATACGTTACAAAGCCTGGATTTTTAAATGGCCGATTTACAAGTTATTTTATCCATGTAAAGTTGCAATATCGCACAAATCGTTTAGCAGTATTAACATTTTTGTTTGCTGATATGGATATCAATGATTTTCTGTTCTTTTAAATTTTTCTAGCTGGGTTTGCCAGCTGTGGGCTTCTTCCATGAAAGGATGCAGAAAGGACACTGAGGATCTTGTGCCACAGCTCTTCACTTTTGGCCATTTTACTTGCTAAGGATGTAATCTTTTAGCTTATAAACATTGGCTTTAATCACAGACTTTCTTTGTCATTTACAAGGGAGTTTTATAAAATTAAAATAACTTGTAGAGGGTTACAAGTTTATTCCTGCAACTTCATGAAGAATATTTTTAGCATTTTCTCAGAGAAGTAGAACTTCTGATTTTTTTAACTGTATCACAAGATAAGGTGAGTTTTGGTCACTAACTGCAGAATTCAAATGCCCTGATGCTGCTTCTTGCCTTCCTTATTCCATGATGAGTGTAATATGAAGGAACTCCCTTGGTTTTTGCAGTCAAGTTTCCAGAGTGCTCCACTACAGGAGCAGTGCTGTGAAATAGGAAATTATACCCTATAGGAACCTATATAGGAAATTCAGGTGCTCTGAATAATGTTTTATTTGGGCTACTGAAAAAAAATTAGCTTCATGTATAACATTCAGACTGTTAGCATGTTTAATATGTTCTAGCAAAAATATTTAGGTCTTCATATACCATAGTTATTCAGAGGATGCACTTTTTGCAATAAATTCTTCTCCTAAATTCAATGTCATTACTTTGGTTGCAGCAGCACAAGTGGCACAATTAGCAATATTGCTGCAACTTGCTACCAGTCTTAGCTTTAAGTTTATTCTTTATAATTTCTGATGCTTTTATATGATGCTGTACTCTAATATCAGTTATAATTTCAGTGTTAGATGTTCTTCGGGCTGATTTCCCTCTTTGAAGATTCTACAGACCAGTTACAGCTCTTGGTGCGGATAAAATAAAAGCACAATTTTGCCCTTTTTCAGATGCTCTTCCTTCTGTTCAGTTATGCAGGTAATTCTCAAAAACAGTGAGTCTCCATACCTGTTCATGCTTAAGAATGCTAAATAAATAAAAATGCTGTTACATCAACTTCAAAATATTAGGATTTCTCTCTTCCAGTAGAGTTAAAGAATAGGCTTTTCACAATAACACCTACCAGGTTAAATTACATGTAATAAAATTTATTTTTTTAACAAATAAAATCACGTTGTTTAAAAAGGATATGCCACATGTCTTACAAAACTTAGCCTCTTTTATATAGCTGCGAAAGAAAAAATTGTGTACAAATTTAAATGTAACTAGCACTGCTGTGTTCGTTATTCAGTTTGAAGCACGGAAAGAGGGCAACTTTTCTAAGCTAGATACGGATAAACAAGACTAATTCTTCTGAAGCTGAGCGAAAGTAGTCCTCTTTCTGGAACTGGAGAAATCTTGATTTGTAATGTCCCTTTTCCCCCCTAAAACTCTGTCAGGCAGTGGGAGATCTAGGAGATGCAGAGTCTAAGTTGGTAACATCCTGCAATTAATTGTTGCATTCTTATGGTTCATCTCTTCTGGAATGGTTCTTTTGTTTGCATGGGGCTCTTGCAGATGTATGTGGACTTGCTTCCTGTGGTCCATATGTATAAACAGCAGACGTGCGTACATTCCAGAGCAGCTCGGGCAAGCTACAGCCAAGCCTTCTGTGCTGCGGCTGCTGAGGGAGGGGTTTGTGTTGACTGCCATGTGCTGTGCACATCTGTCTGGGGTCCCACAGCCTGCCATGGTGCCTGGCAGCACCTGATTCAGCAAGGCTTCTGTTATGTTCACTGCCTTTCTGCCATCACCTGGTTCCTTCTTCTGGAAGAAAACAAAACAAAACAAACCCAAAACCTGTAATATCTTTGCATTACCATATTGTCTCTGCTGTGTTTTTTGCATAAACTGTCAATTTAATTTAACATTTTAGTGGATATGAAGGCCTACAGATAATTCCAGTGTCTCGTTTTGTGGCTCTCTTACAAAAAAAAAAATGAAGCCTTTTGTTGTATGCCATTTTGTACAGGCTCTTGAATGTGATTTCAAAGCTATTAACACATTGTGTAATACTTGGGATGAGATTTATCAACCTTTGTAAGTTTAATTGTAGAAAACACATTTTTGACTGAGCTATCTTTGGGCCTTTGTAAAAGCTGTGGTTTTTTCCTTTGGTACATTTTTACCTCATTTTGCTACTTGTGTTTCAGATTTGCTAATAATCATGAAAGCTTATGGATTTTGTTGGAATCATATTTGGTCAAGTGTTTCCTTTAAATCATACTCTATTGTATCATTTAACATGTAGTTTTAAATGTATTATAAGTATCTGTAACCAAATCATTTGAAGGCTTGATAAATTTTTAACAAAATTTGTACATTTTTTATGAGAGTTACTAGTAATGCTTTACTAGATAGTGCAATGAATTTTTATTTTTAATCCCTGTGCCCAATTTTGGAGTTGAGAGAGTTGTTCAGTAATAAATGTATGATGTACACTTAGACAATTTTGTCCTGTTCTTTCTCTTAGAAAGAGGTGCATTGTTTACTTTTGTTACTCTGCATATTTCTGTGCATGATCATGCAACTGTAGATATTGGCAACAGTTACTTGTGTTGTAGGGGGAAGTTTTGCCACCTTAATTGTAGTTTTTTAATCTGCTTTCAGAGATCATAAGAAAATTATATGAAACATTGTGTCATACTTTTGAAAGTATAAGGTGTATTTCATACAACTCAAAGCCTTGCCTAAAAGATCAGCTTTCTAAAAGTGCTGCTCAGTCAAAGAAAAATCTGCAGGGACAGAGGTGCCAGCTGAAGATGTGTTACACTTTGCAGTGCCCTAAAGGTGGTGAAGAAAGCATCCTGAGTTCAGGATGAAGGTGAATTATAAGGAGTTTGATTACCCAGGATCATACAAGAAGATGGTGGTCAAACAACCAAACAAGAGTAGTTTGGTTTTTGTCTTTAATGAGCTGATGTAAACTATGTTGACCGATGTAATGATTTAAAAGGAACAGGGCATTTGGTAGCTTCATCAGTAGCAGGTGGTTTTGGTACTCATATTTGAAGATCTATTGGTGCTTTGAGAATCCTTACGCAAAGATTTGTGTATGTGTCCTTTAGATCTAGAATCCTGTATAACAACTAGTTTGCCCTCTTTCTTATAGCAGATGTTAGTTATTGACTGCTGAAAATGTGAGGCCACCCCTCAGCCTTCTCTTCTCCAAGCTGAACAAACCAAGTGACCTCAGCCACTCCTCATAAGTCTTGCCCCCAAGACCTTTCACCGTCTTGGTCACCCTCCTCTGGACACACTCAAATAGTTTGACTTTCCTATATTGAGGCACCCAAAACTGCAGACAGTACTTGAGGTGGGGTCTCCTCCCTTAATCATCTAGCTCTGCTGTGCTTGATACACCCCAGGACACAGGTGGCCCTTTCAGCTGCTCAGGCACACTGCTGACTCATATTCAACTTGACATCAACCCCAAACCCAGATCTCTTTCTGCAGGGCTGCTCTCCAGCCTCATCCCCCAGTTTGTACATGTAAGCAGACAACTTCTGGAGTTAGTTTAGTCTTTTTAAATAATTAAACTGTTTTTATCTCCACTCAGGAGTGTTCCAACTTTTCTTTTCCAGTTCTCTCCCCCACCTCACTGAGGAAGGGTGGGAGTGAGTGGCTGTGTGGTGTTTAGCTGCCTGCCCCATTCAACCACAACAGTTCTACATATTCCCATTCCCCCTCATCCCCTTTGTCTTCCCTCCTTCCACCATGGTGTGCTGCCCTCTCAGTAGTGTCATGGCCAAGCTGAGCCAATTTCCTGGCAGTTGTGGCAGTCAGAGCACAGAGCAGACACAGGCAAGGCAATGTTGCCATTGAATTTCTCTTTGTGACTTTACAACCATGCATACAGCTCTGCCTTGGTGCCAGATGGTACTACTGGTGAACTAGGAGAAACCTGGTGAGATTGCGATCTCTAAGCTTTTTCTTAGACACATACATAATATTCATGGATGATGCCATTAACACTGGAGAAAGTGTTGAATCTTTGATATTAGGTAAAACCCTTCCACCCCAGAGATATTACTGGTCCTGACATGCACAGATAACAACGCTAAACAGAAATTCTACATTTCCTAGTCCGAAGTGGCAATCCCTCTCCCAGCTGCGTATCCAGACTATGTGCTTACTTTGAAACTTGCTGCCTCTTCCTAGATGTCTTCTCCGAATCAAACTAGATTAAATCAGTCCTACTTGCTCTGAGCATCTCCATGCTGGATATGCAGCCTGTGTGGGACTTAGAACACCACTTCTTTAGTGCATACTATCTTTCCACAATGCTGCGGATAGTATATTTTGAAAAGTATATGTTTGAGAGTATAATTTACTAAAAATTAGCAAGAAATGTATACATCAATACAATAGACTAATTTTCCATATTTTAAAATCAAATACTGAGCAATCAAACCACAAA